AGCATAACAATAGCAATGTTTTGTCTTTTACAGCTTACTGAACACTTTCATAGATATATGATTTTATCCTCATGTATCCCTATGGATTAAATAGTTGTATTTTTGTCACTTTACATATGAGGAAACTGGCCTAGAAGCTAAGTGACTTGCCCAGAGGTGACAGCTCTCTAGCAATACACTAAATCCACATCTTGTGCTTTTTCCAGAGATGTTCTGCTTCCCTGAAAATAAATAGTAATTTTTCAAAATTTGGAGCCCCTTTTCTTCTCAGCATTTAAATGCCCCCTTGGCAGCATATTGAGTTGGTTCTATCAGGCAATGAGTAGTTGAAGAACAAGAATAGACTACATGATTTATAGTATGGACTGAATAATGTACCCCCCAAAATTCATATATTGAAGCTCTGACCCCAAATGTGATGGCATTTGGAAATGGGCCTTTGGGAGATGATTATGTTTAGATGAGGTCATGGGGTGGGGCCCTCATGATGGGATTAGTGTCTTTATAAGAAGAGGAAGAGACACAGAATTCTGTCTGCCATGTGAAGACACAGTGAGAAGGCAGCCATCTATAAGCCAAAAGAGAGCTCTCACCAAAATCTGACCATGTTTTCACCGATCTTGGACTTTCAGCTTCCAGAACTGTAAGAAATAAATTTCTGTAAGATATGGTATTTTGTTACGGCAGCGTGAGCTGACTAAGACAGTTCATAAAATTATTTTTTTGTGATAACTCCCAAGTGTAAAATATTTTAGAATTAGATTCCTAGTCTGTATCTTATAAACAGGATTCTTGGTTCCTTAGACAGATGACAGATACATGACACATTATTTCTTCTGCATTTTGTACGTTGCCTATTAGCAGTATGTAAATGCAACCATACCAGAGTCATGCCAACTTAATGGCATGTCACACTGAAACAAGTTCCCCACTCACACGAATTGTCTGCCTTGTCCAACTAAAAAGAATATTAGAAAAGTTGTCCAACTAAAAAGAATATTAGAAAAGTTTTTAAAACAGAGTGCTTGATAGGATTATTGTATAGACCAGTATAGAGTTGGTGGTTCATAAATTATTTCACGACCCCCATAGTTACTACTCAAACAATTTCCTTGCATTCTGCACATACACATTCTAATTTTAGCATCCTTTAAAAATATTGTGGCTACTACTTCCTGGGTAGTAGTCAACTTTCAAACCATTCTTTTCTTTGTTTTCAAACTTACCCAGGGGGGTTTTCTCGGTTTACCTGTTTGTATTTTGGAAAATCATTCCTTTGAAAACAGGTTATTTTCTTTGCTTGTTTATTGCTATTCTTGGATATTTTTGTGTGCATTCACTCATGCATGCACACATTTGTCTGTGTGTGTGTGTCTGTAATCACAGACATTTCCTAGGCAACCGATTGTGTTTTGAGACAGCCAATAATCTTAGGGACAGCTGTGGTGCCACGTACCTTTTAGGGGTATCATTTTTCCTGTGCTGTACTACATATACAGTTGTTAGAGGAGAAACCAAAATTAAGTTCAAGTGTCCTTGAGCAGGCATAGAATCCAACTGATCCCCTCGCTTTTTGACTCTTTAACATGTCAGAAGGTCTTAGTAATTTTCTATTAGATTATTCTTTAAAATTAATATCTTCACCTACAATTAATATCTTCACCTATGGCATAAACATATTTTGATGAAATCTTAAAATCTCACTTCTAGGATAGGTGTATATTTACAAAATAAAGAGCCTTGGAAAGTATATTTCTATATTTGATTTTTCTTAATTGGGAACATTTCAAAAATCTTTTATTTTCTTCAAAAATATTGAAAATTATGGCTGCACCATTAATGCAAGAAATTTTTTATATTTAAATTTTTAAATTAAGTTTATTGGGGTAACATTGGTTAATACAATTATATAATTTTCAGGTGTACATTATAATTTGACATCTGTATATTCTATTGTGTGTTTACCACCCAAAGTCCAGTTTCCTTCAGCTACCATATATTTGATCCCCTTTACCCACTTCACCCACCCCCTACCTCCCTATATTTGACCCCCTTTAACCCTCCTCCCCACACACCCTACCTTCTAGTAACCACTAGTCTATAGTCCATGTCCATGAGTATCTGTTTATTTGTCCTGTTCATTTGTTGCTTTAGGTTTATATCTTACATATTAGTGATACCTTGTGATTTTCAACTTTTTCAATCTGGCTTATTTCGCTTAGCATGATTATCTCGAGGTCCATCCATGTTGTCACAAATGGCAGTATTTCATCTCTTCTTATGGCTGAGTAATATTCCATTATATATATGTACCACAGCTTCTTTAGCCAGTCATCTATCATAGGACACTTCAGTTGCTTCCATGTCCTGGCCACTGTGAATAATGCTGCTATGAACATCGGTGTGCAAACATCTTTTTGGATATGGGTTTTCAAGTCTTTGGAGTAAATACCTAGTAGAGGGATTGCTGGATCATATGGTAGATCAATTCTTAGGTTTTTGAGGAACCTCCATACTGTTTTCCATAGTGGCTGTACCAATTTGCATTCCTACCAGCAGTATATGAGGGTTCCTTTTTCTCCGCATCCTCTCCAACATTTGTTATTACTTGTCCTGTTGATGATAGCTATTCTAACAGGTATGAGATGGTGTCTCATTGTGGTTTTGATTTGTATTTCCCTAACAGCTAGTGATGTTGAGCATCTTTTCAAATATTTTTTGGCCATTTGTATGTCCTCTAGGGAGAAGTGTCCATTCAGGTCCTCTGCCCATTTTTTTGATTGGATAATTTTGTTGTTGTTGTTATTATTGAGTCGTATGAGTTCTTTGTATATTTTGGATATTAGGCCCTTATCAGAGGTGTTGCTTGTAAATATATTTTCCCATTTGGATGGGTATCTCTTTACCTTGTTGATGATTTCTTTTTAGTTTGATGTAGTCTCATTCATTTATTTTAGCTTTTACTTCCCTTGCTTTTGAGATCAAGTTCATAAAATCCTCTTTAAGTGCAAGGTCCTTGAGTTTAGTTTCTATGTTTTCTTCTGTGCATTTTATTGATTCTGGTCTTATATTCAGGTCCTTAATCAATTTTGAGTTAATTTTGGTATATGATGATAGACAACAGTCTAGTTTCATTCTTTTACAGGTGGCTTTCCAGTTTTCTCAGCACCATTTATTGAAGAGGCTTTCCTTTTTCCACCCTATGTTTTTGGCTTTTTTGTCGAAAATTATTTGCCCATATAAATATGAGTTTATTTCTGGACCCTCGATTCTGTTCCACTGGTCCGTGTGTCTGTTTTGCTGCCAATACCATGCCATTTTGATTACTGTCCCTTTGTAGTATAATTTGAAGTCGGGCAGAGTGATGCCTCCCGCCTCATTCTTTTTTCTCAGGATGGCTTTGGCAATTCGGGGTCTTTTGTGCTTCCATACAAATCTGATGATTTTTTGTTGCCAATAAATTTTTAATTTAAAGACCTCATATACTTGGGTTTTTTGGTTTGGGTTTTATTGTTGTTGTTGTTGTTGTTGTTTTGACATGTGTCGGTGTGAAGGTATTTTATATTGAATGAAAATAAAGGCAGACTTTGACCTCCCATGCCTCATTCTTCTCTTTTGTTAAATCCCCACTCAGAGGAATCCTTAGGAAAGGGTTGGCCCCAAAGGATCTGGATCAAAATTCTGGCTCAGTCACTTACTAGCTAGGTCACCTTGGGCAAATAACTTCATACTCAGACATTTCAGAGTTAACATTCTGAAACCAAATTTTCTATTTCCTCTTTACTCAGACTCGTTCTTCTTGCTGTATCCCCTATTTCAGGAGTCCCCAGCCTCTCAGCTGCAAACCAGTACAGGTCCGTGGCCTGTTAGGAACCAGGCCGCACAGCAGGAAGTGAGTAGCAGGTGAGCGAGCGAAGCTTCATCTGTATTTGCAGCCGCTCCCCAGCACTAGCATCACCGCCTCAGCTACACCTCAGATTCTCATAGGAGCGCCAGTCTCTGGTGCCATAACGTTGGGGACCATTGCTCTATTTGATTTGCTGGTACCACTTAACCATCCAGTTATCTGACAGCAAGTTGAGATTATTTCTTCCTTCTTGTTCTCACATTCACTAAGTCAACAAATCTTGCCAATATTGCCTTTTAAATCAATCTCTCTAGTCCTGCACTGTCTAATATGGTAGCCACTAGGCAGTGGGACCGTTGAGCACTCAATATGTGGCTAATGAAATTGAGACGAATTGTAAGTGTGCAACATAAACAGAATTTCAAAGGCTTAACATAAAAAAGGGATAGAAACTATCCCATTAATTTTTATATCTGAGTTTACCATGTGTGCTGTTGTTCACCAGTTTTATTGGGATACAATTGTCGAAATGATATTTTTGATATAGTGTGTTAAGTAAAATATGATTTATGTCATGTATTTCTTTTTGTTTTTTAAATATGGTTACCTTTGTGGATTGTGTTATGTTTCTCTTGGACAGCACTGCTCTTGTCTGTCTTGTCCTCTCTATTTTATTCAGACTCTTAATCTTTAACTGTTGCCGAAGTCTAATTAAATTAACCTCCCTTCATTCTGAACTCAGTGAGAATGCTCTTTCTGAGATAAACATCTGAAAGTGTCATTACCCTGCTACTACGGCCCTTGAGAAGCTTCTCGTCACATAAACCTAAGGTCCTGTATACAGTGCACAGTCTTAATTATCTGACCCCTACGTACCTCTCAGCTTGTCTTCCACCTTCTCAGTTCTTCCTTTCTCCCACCTTGCACTGTACACTCCACTGATTCTCAAATTCCTGTTCTCTCCTAAAAATACCATGCTGTTTCATTAATCTGTGCCTTTGCATTTGCTGATTCTGCGATCTAGAATTCTCTTCCCTACATCATCCCCCATCTGACCGGAGAGTTCTATTTTAGCTTTCAAAACTTTCCATAGGCCCCACTTTTCTCTCTCCCTTGTAGAGGTTCTACCAACACGTTGCATTTACTCCTACAGGGCTCTAAGTTCCAGGAGGGCAGGAACCATGTCTTGTTCATCTTTATGTCCAGTTCTGCTGAGGACAGTACCTGGATTAGAGTAGGTACATTAATTTGGTAAATTTTCATATTAGTTGTATTATATTAGAATTATATATCACAGTGATTTGTTTATATGTTTTCCTACGATGGAGTGAACTCTTTGAAGAAAAGAAGTGAATCTTGTTGATAGAAAAATGTATATATTCCAACACCTCAAGTAGTGCCTGTCATAGAGTGGACACCAAAATAAATAATTGTTGAGTAGGATAAATTCGGGCTGAACCTACTCTGTGTGAATCTGCTGATTTTTGGATTGCCCTTAAGGCTCAATCATTCAGTGGGTTGCTGCCTTTGAAAAATCTCTAGGAATCTTTTTTTATCTTTGGTTTTTGAGATTACCTTGCATACTGTTGTTGCTGGTTCCCCACCTCTCAGTTTTATTTAGATATAATTGACATATAATATTGTATAAGTTTGAGATGTGCAACATAATGATTTGATATATGTATATATTGTGAAATGATTACCACACTAAGTTTAACATATCCATCACCTCAAATTGTTAGTCTTTTTCTTATGATGAGAACTTTTAAGATCTACTCTTAGCAACTTTCAAATATACAATCCAGTATTAATTATCTATAATCACTATGCTGTACATTACATCCCCAGAACTTATCTTATAAATGCAAGTTTGTACCTTTTGACCATCTCTACCCATTTTCACCACCTGTTGTTATTTTTTAACTTTTAGATGTTTTTCTTCCTTTACAACAGTAGTATACATATTTACTGAGAAAAAGTCAAATAACATCAAATAATACAAATTGATAACAGTTTAGTGTGTATCTTTCAAGAATATTTTCACACATACAGACATAATTATTTCATACAGAAATGCTATCATTAAACATAATTTTCCTAAAATTTGCATTTTCCTTAATACATATATTTCCAAGTACAAAGTTTTGAAAGCATCTCAACAGTTATATTAGAGCCATGTTCCATATTGTGACTTTGTTCCTGGCCTAGGTAGAGTGCTGTGCTCACCTGACTTGTTTTACAATCCAGCAGTCTCTCCTCACACTACTTGAGGAGGAGAAAGAGTTCCTGCCCCCAGAGGTCGAAGGTATGGACCTGCTGCAAATATAAAATGTCTTTGGAGTCTTTTTTTATTTTATCTTAAAAGTTAGTACAGATCTTGCATTTAAAGATATCACAGCATCTCTGAGTTTGTTTTCAAAATGAAAACATGGAGATTCTTCTAAAAAATAAAACCTGGGGTAAAATTGTCACTCCAGGAGGATGTGCCTTGCTTATTCTGTGACTTCAAGTACCCCCAACATATTGCCTAGTACGGCTGTGTTTATTCCAGCCAGTGTGAGAAACATAGTATTAGGCTTTCAAACAAAAGTACCTAGAGATTTCCCACAACTCACTTAGGAAGGAGGCTTCTGGAAAAACCATAGTCACATTTAGCTGTACAATAAGGGGCAGGATTAAGGAGATATTTTGACAAGAAAGGAGTTAGGATTGAGAGTTATATAGTAAAAGAGGATTACTGATTAAAAGCCTAGGTTTGAGGTTAGAAGAATTTAGGTTTTAAACCTACCTCTGCCGTTTACCGGTCTGTGACCCTGAGGTAATTCCTAAACCTTACTGAGCCTCGGTTACCTCATATGTAAAAGGGCATTAGGAATTGGGTGGTAATAATGGTGCCAAATTCATAGAGTGTCTGAGAGGATGAAGTTGATGTTTTTAAAAACATTTTAAATGCTTCTGGCACATCATAATTTCTCAGTAAATCATAGCTAAGGGGGAAAAAGTAGACAATTCTTCTTTGTGGTTTAAGTGAATTTTTAGTCTATATACCTGAAAAAAGCCTCAAAACAGCTCTTCTACCAAGAGCCAACTCAGTCCACCCATGTCTTTTCCTTGATGAGAAAAGAATAGTGAATACATTTGTCTTATTTTATATCTAGTTCCTCCTCTCATATCGCTCCCTCAAATCACATCCCCATTATTGCTTCCTGTCATTTCCAGTTTCAGTGTCTCCATTTCTGCTAAGAAAAGCAGAAGTGAGGGAAATGAGAGGGTTTGGGGATTTCTAAAAACTATTCCTAAGTCCTCATTGTTACATGAAAGTAAACTATAGTTATGTGAGTATAGTATTTGCCAGACTGTTTCTCTGGAAAATGCAAAGGAATTTCCCAATAAGAATCTTACATTTTAATCTTTTAGAGGACAAGTATTATTGTATTGAGCATAGACAATATGAGTTACACAGTTATGAGAGTTCTCTACATTTGAGAAATTCTCTGTTGTGTTTTTTTTTTTTTTTCACTCTGTATTTTGTATATGGGGAAACTTAGGCTCTTAACTTGCCTCAAGGGCTCAAGGTATATTGCTGAGCCTACACTGTCAGGTTTAAACATATGAGCTTGCTATTTTTGTACCTCAAAAATGGTAGAATATTGGCAACTTGATATTGTTTGTAATACAAAGCCTGTGTGTGTATGTGTAAAATGCATCACATATAAAGACTTTCGATGTAAGTGTATAATGTAAAGAGTAATAGTAAAACTAATACCCCTGTACCTACCAGTCAGGTTCCTCCTGTCTAACCTTTAATCTCACTTCCTCCCCTCTCCAGCCAGGTAGCATCACCTTGACTATAGTGTAAATAAATAGGTGAACAGAGTCTTTGGTTCATGATCTGGCATAAGCTTCTTTGAAAGCTTATAGGAGAAGCTTTCTTGGGAAGTCTGGGTTCAAGGTCATGCATGAGTCTTAGGAAACAGGGTTTACCACAGCAAGGCATCTGGCAGAGCTATAGTTTGGTCCAGGTGCACGTCATTAGACAGAAATATGGTCTATTTACTGCCTCTAAACTCACCATGGATTTCCTCCAGCTTTCAAGAGTAGGTCAAAGCAAAAATTTCTTGTACTTTCAGTAAAATGGAAGTCTTCACTGATCTAGACGGCAGAACATAGAGGGGAGTATAGTAACTCTAGCTCTAGTTAAGACAAGCCAAGTACAAGCTCACACGGTCATTCAATGCTCAGGTTAAAATGATAGTGTGATGGAAGTGGGGATCATGGTGATGACTAACCCCAGTGTGATTATCTCGAAGTCACTCTCCAATCTGGACTAATCGCCCTCTGTATCTGATACACAGCCATCATCCTGGAATCTCTCTTCACCATCTTCCTGTAATTCCCATTGCCTCTTTCCTGTATTGGGTTTCCTGTTTCCTGTCTTCTTCTTTCTCGGGTTAGTCTCTTTAGTAGAAAACATTCTCCAGGAACTACTTAAGGAAAGATGCATGGGAAGTAAAATTTTTGAGAGTTTCCTTGTCTGAAAATGTCTTTATCTTATTCTTATACATGATAGAGTGGCTGAAAATAGATCTCTAGGTTAGAGATAATAATCTTCCAAATTTTTGAAGATGGTGCTTCATATTTTCAGTGCTACCCTCAAAGTCTGAAGACATTCTGACTCCTGATCTTTTCTATGTTAACTGCTTTTTTTCTTTCTCTCTGGAAACTTTTGGAATCATCTGTCTCCAGCTTTCAAAATTTTTACAGTAGCATGGGTTGGTATGGTCTGTTTGCTATCCATTGAGTTGGATATGTAATGGACTATTTCATTCTAGAAACTCATCTCTTTTTTTTGGCGGGGAGCGGGAGGGTGTTCTTTGGTTATTTCATTGATGACGCCTCTGTCTCTGTTTTCCTTTTTCTCTCTTTCTGTTTTATTCAGATGACAGATCTCCCAAACTGGTCCTCTAAATTTCTTATTTTTTATCTCTTCACTCCTTTCCTGGGCAGCCTCCTCTTGCTACCCTTTTATTCATTCTTTTTCTTCATTATTACAGTCATGTTTTAATTCTCAAGAGCTCTTCTTTATTCTCTTCATTTAAAGGATTTTAATGAGAGGTTTTTGCATGATTTTTGCCTTCTCCATTTATAGTCTTTGTTTTTTCAGTTTTTTGTTTTCCTTATTTATTTTAGACTCTTCCATTTCATAGGCTCTCCACAGCTGTCTGGTAATTCTTTGCTCTCTGCTTCTGTTTGAACATGATCTAAAGAGCTCTGAGTGTGTAGGTGGAGTTTGTTGACTGTTGACCTGTGGTGGGGAGATCTGGCAAGGGCATTTGTTGGGGAATTCCCAGTAATTAGAATCTTTAGGATTTTTTTTTTCTTTTGCCTGTCAGATTCCCCACAGGAGAGTTTTCAGTCTCTTGGCTGCAGGGTAAAGGCCTTACTGCCAGTGTTCTAAGAGCCAAATAATGGAAGAAGTCTGGATTTCTCTGCATTCTGTGTTTAATACGCATACATTCACATAATCCCTATTTTCACTATGGTACTCATACTGCCAGATGTGCTTGGTACTTGAGTCTAGAGACCCTCTGATTTACCACATGCAAGTGATGAATCTTCAGACTTCAGAGCACAAATCTAGGAATCGAATGCTTTGCCAACAGCTTTCAACAGCAACTGAGTCTTCTCAGTTCTCCTTGTGCACGCACCTCCATTTAGCCTCTTTCCTTTGCTTCCAGTTCTGGAGTCTTTTGAGAAATTGGGTTGGCTCTTAGCTTACCCCTCTCCAAATCAGACTTTGTTGGCTCTGCAAGGTCAATTACCACTTGTCCATCTGCTTTTCAGCTTTCAGATTCTATTGCTATTGTCTCCTTTCTTGTTCTCCAAGTTTTTGTGGGTTTGTCATTTTAGAAAGACTCTGTATTATAGTTTTAGTCGGATTTCAAGCAGGATGAAGATTAGATGCATGTGTTCCATTTGTCTTTTTAACCTGAAAGTTTATGATCTACTCTTTAACAAGTGTTGGCAGAGAAATTAACACAAAAAAATCACCCAAGTCTGTGATAATGCCAAAAAATCTCTCTTTCTTTTTTTGGTGGGGGAGGGTGAAAATACAGTGAGGCTTGGGAGGTCTAAATTAACTAATTCAGGCTGTACTATCTAATAATAGCCGATATTTATTGAGTACTCTTCCATGTGCTTTGTTTCTACGTGGATCTAAATTAATCCTTATAA